CAGCAGACTCCAAGGCCCACAGGTAGTGTCCCTGCCGTGCTGCATTCCTGGCCAGCTCCCACCCCAGTGCTGCACACCTCTCCTGACCTTCTAAACTACCTTGGCCTGGGGAAAATGTCTCACCTCAATCTTTTGTTGCCTATGCAGCTTCAGAATTTGATTTAACATATTATTTTAAAGTTGTGTTTAGGAGAATATTGGGAGAGTTTGGCTTGAATGCTCTTCTATCCTACCATCTTGCTTCCCAGACTCTTTCTCACACCTTCTTTAAAAGTTTGTTTTGCTTCTAATTCCTCCCTTTATCTACCTTCCTTATTATCTCCTTATTTTTCTTAATCCCATTTCCTTCAATTCCTCTATTACATAAGATGTATTTCTGTACCCAGCTGTGTGTATATGTATATTCTTCTCTTGTTTGACCAGTTCAGATGAGAGTGAGGTTCAAGTGTTTACCCATTCCCCCTCACTGCCCCCTCCTTATTGCATAAACTTCTCCTTGAACACCCCATTCATATGAGATAATTTCTCCCATTCTTCTCCTTGGGTGTTGGGCTGTTGTTTGCTTTTTTTTTTTTGCCACCATTTCCATTTTTTTTTGAGATCATCAAAACATAACAGAATCACTCCCAGACTTTCTGTTTAATTAGACTTTTTTTATGACCCCTAATGATAAAGTTAAGAGGGATTACATGTATTTTCATATGTAAGAATGTAAACAGTTTAACCTTGTTTAGTTCCTAATGATTGTTTGTTCATATTTAACTATTTATGCTTCTCTTGACTCCTGTGTTTATATGTCATATATTCTACTCAGATCTGGTCTTTTCCTCAGGAATGCTTAAAAGTACTCTATTTCATAAAAGGTCATTTTCCTCTGTAGGATTATTCTTAGTTTTTCTGGGTAGGTTATTCTTGGTTGTAATCCCAGCTCATTTTTCTGGAATGTCATATTCTAAGCTCTCCTTTTCTTTATAGTGATGGCTGCTAAATTATGTGTGATCTTGACTGTACTTGTGCTCCTCAGTACTTGAATTCTTTCTTTTTCTCTGCTTAGAGTACTTTTCTTTGAACTGGGAGCTCTGGATTTTGTCTATAATATTTCTGGGAGTTTTTATTTTGGAATTTCTTTCAGAAAGTGACATATGCATTCTTTTAATTTCCACTTTGTCCTCTAGTTCTAAGATATCTAGGCAGTTTTATGACTTCTTAAAATATTATGTCTAGGTTCTTTTGTTGTTTATGGTTTTCAAGTAATCCAATGATTCTTAAATTATTTCTCCTTGATGTGTTTTCCAAGTCAGCTGTTTTCCTGATTAGAGAGTTCAAAATTTTGCTATTTTTTCAGTCTTTTGAATTTGTTTTATTACTTTTCCATGTGTCATAGGGTCATTAGCTTTCATTTGCCCAATTCTAATTTTCAAAAAGGTCTTTTCTTTCTTTCCTTTTCAATAGTATTTTATTTTTTCAATTACATACAAAGATAGTTTTCAACATTGATTTTTTATAAGATTTTGAATTCCAAATTTTTTCTCCCTCCTTCCCTCCCATCTCCCCTCCCCAAGATGGCAAGCAATCTGATGTAGGTTATACATGTACAGTCATGCAAACATATTTCCTCATTAGTCATGTTGTGAAAGAAGGAACAGAAGCAAAGGAAAAGCCTCCCCCCAAAAAACCCCAAAAAAGTGAAAATAGTCTCCTTTGATCAGCATTTAGACTTCATAGTTCTTTCTCTAGACGTGGATGGCATTTTCCATCCTAAGTCTTTTGGAATGGTCTTGGATCATTATATTGCTGAGAAGGACTAAGTCATTCAACGTTGATCATTGCACAATGTTGCTGTTACTGTGTACAATGTTCTGGTTCTGCTCACTTCACTCAGCATCAGTGCATGTAAGTCTTTCCAGGTTTTTCTGAAATTCACCTGCTCATTATTTCATATAGCACAATAGTATTCCATTACATTCATATACCACAACTTATTCAGCCATTCCTCAATTGATAGGCATTCCCTCAGTTTCCAATTTGCCACCACAAAAAGATCTACTATAAATATTTTTGTACAAATAGGTCCTTTTCCCTTTTTTATGATCTTTTTGGGATACAGTCCTAGTAGCAGTATTGCTGAATCAAAAGGCATACACAGTTTGATTGCCCTTTGGGTATAGTTCTAAATTGCTTTCCAGAATGGTTGGATCAGTTCACAATTCTACCAATAGGGCATCAATGTCCCAATTTCCCCCCTTTCCCTCCAATATTTATCATTTTCCTTTTCTGTCACACCAGCCAATCTGATAGGTGTGAGGTGGTACCTCAGAGTTGTTTTAATTTGCATTTCCCTAATCAATAGTGATTTAGAGTATTTTTTCATGACTATAGATAGCTGTAATTTCTTCATTTGAAAACTGCCTGTTCATATTTTTTAACCATTTATTAATTGGGGAATGACTTATATTCTTATAAATTTGACTCAGTTCTCTGTATATTTTAGAAATGAGGCCTTTGTCAGAGACATTGGTTATAATAATTATTTCCCATCTTTCCACTTTCCTTCTAATCTTGGTGTTGTATCGGTTTAGTTTGTGCAAAAATCTTTTAATTTAATGTAATCAAAATGATCCATTTTGCATTTTATGCTGTTCTCTATTTCTTGCTTGATCTTAAATTCTTCCTTTCTGCATAGATCTGGCAGGTAAACTATTCATTGCTCTCCTAATTTCTTATGGTATCACCCTTCATATCTAAATCATGTCCCCATTTTGCCTTGTCTTGGTATAGGGTGGAAGATGTTGGTCTATGCCTAGTTTCTGCCATACTGTTTTCCAGTTTTCACAGCAGTTTTTGTCACATAGTGAGCTCTTATCCCAGAAGCTGGAGTCTTTGGATTTATCTAACAGTAGATTACTAGAATCATTGACTACTGTGTCTTGTGTGCCTAACCTATTCCACTGATCCACCAGTATATATCTTAACTAGTACCAGATAGTTTTGATAATTACTATAAAGATTTATGTTCTTTGTTAAGGTTTTGCATCTCTTTCTCCATGCTGTTGATTTTCTTTTCACATGTTTTTTCCCTATGTCTTGCTTCTTTTCCCTTCTTTTTCCATTATCATTCTCATTTGGCTTTTAAAGTCACTTTTATCTCTTTTTTTCTTTAACATTTTTACTTAAAGTTTTGAGTTCCAAATTCTATTCCTCCCTCCCCTCCGAGTCAGCAAGTAATCAGATATAGGTTACACATGTGCAATTATGTAAAACATTTTCATATTAGTCATTTTGTATAAGAAGACTCAAGAGAAAAAAAGTAAGAGAAAGAAAGTGAAAAATAGCATGCTTCAGTCTGTATTCAATCAATATCGGTTCTTTCTCTGGAGGCATATAATATCCTTCTTTTATCTCTCTTTTAATTCTTGCTTTAACTCTTCTAAGAACTCTTGTTGGACTTATGTCCAAGCTGCATTTTTCTTTTAGGTTTTACTTGTAGATGTTTTGTAGTCACTGTCTTCTTCTATGTTTTGTTTTGAGTTCTTTTTCTCATAACAACTCTTTATGGTTGGGTTCTTTTCATGTTTGCTCATTCTTCCAGTGTACTTCTTGACTTTATATTAGTGGTGTGTGCTGCACACTTCTGGGTGAGGTAGTGTAGATGTCTTGCCTGAGCTTACCTCCTTTTGTGTCTTTCTGCTGCTTTCACAGCTTAGTCTAGGGGCTTGCAAGTTTTCAGGGCTCCCAAAGCATTGGGACCTAGGGAAAGGTTTGTTCACTGTCCCCTTGGTCGGAGCTCTGCAAATTCCTGACCCAGGTTTGTGTCTGTCAGCTTGGCCTTAGTTGGGGGTACTAGCATACTGCTGTTAAATTTTATTAGCCTGCTGGGAGGTTCTGCGGGTTCAAGGTGACTAAACTGCTGGCTTCCCTATGGTCTGGGTCTCCTGCCCTGGTGATTCTGCTGCAGGTGTATGTGCAGGGCCAAAGGTTAGAACTGAGTCTCTTCTCTGCTCCTGGGCTCAGAGGTACAAAAGATTGAAGGGTTTTGTTTTCTTATCCATTGTTTAACCCACTCACATTTAAAGTTATGATTTAGCTTTATGTTCTCCTTCCTTTGTTTCTCATTGTTTCTTTTTACCCCTGAATTAGGATTTCCTCCCCCCTTTCCTCTGTATTTTTGGTTATTGTGTTTTAATCTGCTTGTCTTAAACAATTCTGTCCCCAACAGCTCTCTCCCTCTCCCCCTCAAGCTCAGCCTCACCTTTACGTCTGCCCTAATTTTAGAGTATCGATTAGCTTATTAATTCCTTTTTCTCCCTTCCTTTTATCTAGTTAACTCATTCGTTGTTCCCTCAGTCAAGTAAAATCCCCCTTCCTCTCTTCCCCTTCCTCTAATTGTTTGGCTTGTTAATCTTTACTTCATTTTCTGTACCTTTTTCTAAAACATACTTCTTTCCTTCATCCTCTTTTTAGACCTCACCTCCATTTTGTTCCATACTCTACTCTTCCCTCAAAAAGGCCCTTGACATCGTACCCCACTATACCCACCTTTCCTTTAGTCTTTGATGAATGCCAATGCCTCTGCTGGATCCTACTATTTCTTTTCACTTTTTATTGTAGACTTTTATTCTTTGACTCATGGCCTTTCTCCTTATTTTCTCCTTCAATCTCCATATTCCTCATAGGATGAAAGCTTCTGCAGTGCCTATTTTGAGTTTGTTTTTCTGTGTTACTGCCTTGGAGATCTTGCCCCCTGCTCCTTTCTTTTGTGCCACACTCTTGGGAATAACAATCCTGCAGGGTTTAGAGAGGATTGCCCAGAGCAGGATTTTTCTACGTCCCTGATTAAGCAGCTCGTTACTACCCCTTACCATACCTGTGATCATTTTTACCCCATTTGCCACACAATCTCCTTTCAGGGTCCATGCCTTCCCACTCAGGAAGCAAATAAAAAAATGACAGAATGGATTCTTCTCTGTTATTTACATATTTCCTTTTGCTTGTTTCCCCAGGAAGTCACAATGTCTGACAAAAGTGACTTAAAAGCTGAGCTGGAACGAAAGAAGCAGCGGTTAGCCCAGATCAGGGAGGAGAAGAAACGGAAGGAAGAGGAACGGAAAAAGAAAGAGGTGAGTGCTAAGGAAGAAGCCCACTCAAGGGCATTTACCGTAATCAGTCTCCTTTGGCCACTGAGAATTTAGGTCTCAGAGATGCTAGTTTATGCCTGGCCTTGCTAGACTTGATAAACAGAATGCCTGTTGTCAGCTTTACCTATCTACTTTGGGCCACCAGAGCTGAGTTCTCCTCATGGCAGCCCAAGGGACACAAGGGAGGAGTCACCCTCTTACTGTCACTCAGGCACATTGTCAGAACCTGGGAGGGACATTAGACACAGTCAGCTGAGGGGGAAGTGAAGGGAAAACAGTGATTTCTATCCCTTTCCTTTGCCTTCCCATTTCTCTTCTCCTTTCCTCTTCTCCCCTCCCCTCCCCTCCTCTCCCCTCCTTTCCTCTCTCCTCCCCTCCTTTCCTCTCCTCTTTCTTCCTTTCACTATCTCAACAGCATCCCTAGTTTCAGTTATCATCACTACACAGATGACTCTCAGATTGATATGCCTAGCCCCTCTCCTTCCTCTAATGAAAAACCAGGGAGCATTTTTTGACCTCATCTCCATTTTCTTCCCTACTCTCCTCTTCCCTCCCTTGATGTCATCCCTCACTGTCTCCAACTTTCCTCCGGTCTTAGATGACGTGATCTTTCTCCTTGCCAATGCCAGTGCCTCTACTAGATTCCATTCCCTTCTCTCTCCTCATGTTGCTGAGAACCAGACTCACAGCTCACTTCCCAGCCAGCACTTCTGAATGCACCACACCTTCTAGCCGTCCTTTATATTTTGTCTTTTCCTATTAGAATGTCAGCTCCTTGAGGCAAGGGAATGACTTACTAGTTTGTATTTGTATCTCCAGAGCTTAGCTAAGCACCTGGCACAAAGTAGGTGCTTAATTAACACTTGCTCAGTCTATCTACCTGTCTGTCATCTTTTCCAGCTGATTGGCACCACTCTCATGACCCCACCCTCTCCTTATCTATTGCTCCTTCCCTGCTGGTTATGAACATGTTCATTTCTCTTTCATCTTCAAAACAAAATAATAACCTTTCCATCCCTTCCATTCCCTCAAGGTATTATTGCTTTTCCTTTTCGTAGCAGTCCTAGGAGAAGCTCTACACTCGCTGCCTGTGCTTCTCCACCCACTTGCTCAGGACCCCTTGCTGTCTGTCTATCTTCCAGCCTCACCATGAACTGAACCTGCCCACTACAAAGTCATCCAGATCTCTGGCTTCTTCTCAATCCTCATTCTCCTTGACTTCTCTGCAGCCTTTGACATGGTTAATCACCCTCTTCTCCTCAATATTCTCTTCTCTCATGGCTCTGTCCTGGTTCTCTTGCTACTCTCTCCGGCTGCTCCTTCTCAGTCACTTTTGCTAAATACTAGTAATGGTGATAATGATAGCTAGTATTTATATAGTACATTAAGATTTGCAAAGCACTTTACAATATTATCTCATTCTATCTTTACAACAACTATTCAAGTTAGTTGCTATTATTAACTCCATTCTACAGTTGAAACTGAGGCAGATAGGGGTTAAATGACTTGTCCAGGGTCACACAGCTAGTAAATATCAGAGGCTGGACCTGAACTCAAACCTTCCTGACTTCAGGCACGGAGCTCTATCCACTGTGCCACCTCTGCCTTTCCCCCTGCCTAGAATGCCCTCTCTTCACTTCTGCCATGTAGCCTTCCTAACTTCCTTCGAAGTTCAGTATAGATTTTTCTCTCCTTTAGGAGGCCCACCCTTAACTCCTCAGTTCCTACTGCCCTTCCTCCCCTAATTTGTTTACTATTTTTATATTTGGTATTTGCTTAGCTGGGTTCTTGCGGTCTCCCTCAGCAGAATGCTGGAATTATCTTACATCTGCGTCTATGACCTGGCGCCCAGTGGGCACCTAAGAGCGGCATCTCCGAGTAGCTTGGGCCGGGCTGGGTAGTACAGTGCTATTGTAGAATGAAGTACGACAGAGTTCTAGGATTTGTAGAAACTTCTTCTCTGTGCTCCTCTCAGAGGTGATCTGTCACCCCCAGGAAGGAGAGGAGAGAAAAATGGCCTCCCCAATTAGACAAGTTCTGCCTGGCTTCAAACCTCCCACCCTCAAGAAGATGCTCCCTGTTGCCTTAGGGTAATTAGTCCCAAGGGCAGCTAGGCACCACAGTGGATAGAGCACTAGACTGGAGGCAGGAAGACTCATCTTCCTGGGTTCAATTCTAGTCTTAGAGACTTATTAGCTGTGTGACCCTGGGCAAGTCACTTCACCCTGTTTGCCTCAGTTCCTCACCTATAAAATGAGCTGGAGAAGGAAATGGCAAACCACTCCAGGATCTTTGGCAAGAAAACCCCACATGGGGTAATGAACAAAGAGTCAGACACAACTGAAAAGGGACTGAACGATGATCAGCCCCAATTCACTCACTTCCCCTTCCCAGGAGCCTTTGGGAATTTTGCGCAGATGAGTGTCTGGGGGCAAGCTGAAGGCTGCCCACCTCCTGGAGGCCTGGTCTTCGTCTTACCGGCCTCTTCCTTTGCAGTTGAGCTCTTTGACCCTTGGACCTCTCCAGGCTGAGCAGTATCCTCTTTACACGTCCTGAAGACTTTCAGCCTTGGCTGGTGTCTCTGGGGCTGTCTTTCTACCCAGGTTACAAAACTGCTGTCCAGGAAAGTTGTGCTTTGGTCAAGGTCACCCCACTAATGTGCAGGAGACCCAGGACACCGTAGCCTTCTGTCTCCGAGACCCCAGCTCTGTCTCCTGGTCAGTGTTCTCAAAGGTCTCTTTGCCTGGGCCTGGCCAGATATGGTTTCTATCCTGGGAGATCAGCAGGAGGTTTCAAACGGGCATTCCTCTCTCATCCAAAAAAGAAAAGTCTTTGGATAGCTCAGAGCCAAATCGCTAAATTCTGTGCAGCCTTTGGAATTTCCCTTAGGGCCAGGCTGTTCTCCCTGGCCTGTGGGCACTGCATTAACACGGGTCCCAGCCATCCTAGGAAGCAGGGCCTCACCACACCTGCAGCCCAGCCAGCCAGAATCCCCGTGCCCTTAGCACGGTGACGGGCAGCTTGCTTTCAGTACTGCTCTCCCTGAAAGGTGGCCAGGCATCCAGGATGCTGCTCGGCTTCTCGGCCTCTGTCCTTCCATCTGCCTGGCCTCCCTTTCATTAGCCAGTGATCGCGGCTCCTCTCTTTGTCCTTGAGACTGGCTTCAGGCACTGATCCTGTCCGTATGCAGGCCAGGCGGATGCTGATGGGGCGGATGCTCATTTCCAGCAAAATCAAAGAAGTTTCGAGATACAATATTTTCCTCCATTCGAGTGTCGATGCTCGGAGAAGTCAAGGGCACGAGTTGTCCCGGGCTAATCACGAGTTTCTTTCGAAGTTGACATTCTAATATCCCACTCGAATTTCACAGAATGATCATGGGATGGGATGTGGTGCAGCAAGTGGCCTTCCACCTTAGGGGTCTGCTTCGTCTTTGTCATTTCATGAATCTGGGGGTGTGGAGGATGGGGGGAGGGGTAGGCAATTCCAGCTGAAGCCAACAGTGGAAGGGGAGCAGGGGCTGGTTGGATCCCGCCGTCCCCCAGTCAGATCTTCCTCCTGTAGGGATCCCAGTGCTGTGAGTCCTGAGTTCAAATCCCAGCTCTCCCCTAACTAGCAAAATGTCGAACCTCTTTGAGTCTTTGTCTGTGCAGTATGAGAAGTAGACTAGAGATCTCTAAGGTCACTTCAGGCGCTGGACACAACTCCAACTGGTTCGATTTTCAGTGGGGGTATTTACAACTCTGAAATCAGCAAACACGGCCTAGATTTATTATTTATTAATTGCCCAGACTTAAGAAAGGGATAGAGAAAATGTTAATGATGAAGATTATACTTAAAAGCCCATCTCATGTTTTAGGTACCATGGGCCTTGGGTCTTTAGCGGCACCCCAGGGCTTCCAGGGTGAAAGAAAAAAAAATCCATTTAACACTGGAAGAACCAGGCCACCGATTGATGCATTAAAAAACCCCAACACTATAATTACATATAATCTGTGCAAATGCACTTTGTTTTTTCACAATAAATTTTAATTGCTGTTTTCTGTTCCTTGCATGACCACAGTTATCCCATGTGCCTCTATAGAGAAAAAACAAACCAACACAGTTGATTAGCACATAGAAAAGGTCTGAACGCAGGTGGAACATGGGACGCTGGCAGACCTCTTACCTCTACCAAGGTGCGTCACCGTGTCCTCTCGACTCTCATCATGCGAGTCCAATCAATTAATCCAGAAACATCTGCTGGTGCTGTTGAGTCATTGCTCAGTGTGGCTGACTCTTGGTGACCCCATTGGGGGTTTTCTTAGCAAAGATACTGGAGGAGTTTACCATTCCCTTCTCTAGCTCATTTTACAGATGAGGAAACTGAGGCAAACAGGGTAAAGTGATTTGCCCAGGGTTACCCAGCTGGAAAGTGTCTGTGACCACTGGGTCACAGAATATGAGCCTTCCTGACTCCAGGCTCTGGGTTCTATCCACTGTACCACCTAGCTGCCCATGTCTGATTCTTTGTGACCCCTTGGACTAAATAAATACCCATGAGATTTTCTTGGTAGGGATGCTGGAGTGGTTTGTCATTTACTTCTCCAGTTTTATGCAGGTAGGGATTAAGTGACTTGCCCAGGGTCACCCAGCTAGTAAGTGTTTGAGGTCATATTTGAACTCTGGTCTTTCTGACTCCAGGCCCTTCATTCTGTCCATGGCACCACCTAACTGCACCTATGTTCCAGGCACAGTGTTAAGCACTGAGGATACAAAAAGAGGCAAAAGACAGTCCCTGTCCTCAAGGAGCTTCCAGTATAATGGGGGAGCCAACATGCAAACACGTCTGTACAAAGAAAGCTGCCCACAGGATAGTTAGGAAACGATAGGCAGAGGGAAGGAACCTTCCTGAGGAGGGGCTGGGAAGTCATCCCTGAGCTCTGTGATTCTGTTGCATTCACTTTGGATTTTGTTCTTTCCAGTCACATTGCAGTAGTTAC